AAAGGGTACAAGATTTGGTTGGAAAATGAGCAAAAGGTAGTAGAAACCCTAAATGCTACTTTTAAAGAGTCAATTGGAATGCAGAAAAGTGGCAGTGGAGCTGTACTGGTCACCCTTCCTGATTTGGAATCTGAAGAAAGGGTAGAGTTCCAATCCACTGATACTCCAGTCGGCTATTTTCCTGAAATAGAGGAAAGAACTGATACCAATGTACCTTCTTCTACAATTGACACTGATACTCGATCTACATTGAGACAAGTAACTTGGCTTCATAAACCTGTTCCAAGCCCAGACGGCACTCGTACGGATGTGTATTATTTTGAGAGGGGGTCTAATCAAAGACTAAGATCGCCAAATGATGTAGAAAGGTATTGCACTGAACATAATATTCAGTATGATCCTACCTTGTTTGATTTCAAGGGAAGCAATACTTATAGTGGTGAAATCGACCCAACTGGTACTCCTTCAACGTCATATACCCAAGATAGCTGACTAGAGGTTTCAATTCGAAACACTTATAACCAGGCAATGAAATCCACAGAAAAGTTTAAATGGATAGAGGCAATGGAGGAGGAAATGGCCAACATGCGAAAGCATAAGGTATGGCATCTTGTTCCACTTCCTAAAGACAAGACTCCACTTGGTTGCAGGTGGATTTTCAACATTAAACGTGACGAATTTGGAAATATTTTTCATTTTAAAGCTTGTTTAGTGGCTCAGGGTTAATGGCAAATTAAATACGATACCTATGGTGAAACCTACTCGCCTGTAGTCAACTTTTCAGTAATAAGGCTCTTTTTCTCCCTTTTAGTTGCACACCTTGGATGGGCAAATATACAATGCGAACGTAAAAAGTGCCTATCTCTACGCTCCTTTATCAGAGGAAATTTACATGTCCCAACCTCAGGGTTTTGTAGAGCGAGATAAAGAAACTTTTGTGTGTCGTTTAGATAGAGCCTTGTATGGTTTGCATCAGAGTGGGCGATTATGGTACTACGAGTTGGATAGAACACTATGTAACCTAGGGTTTATCCAAGTTTGAGTGGCGCAATTGTGTCTATCGTTTTAAAAGATTTTGTCATTCTGTTGGTTTATGTTGATGATATAGTTGTGTTTGGGAAAAGTGAAGTTCAGGCTAAAAAATATTAAAAGTCCTGAGTTCACATTTCGATTTGAAAATTTTGGGTAAAACAAGAAAGCTTCTGGGTGTGGAATTTGAATATGAGAACAATAGTGTTTTAATTCATCAGCAATTATATATAGAAGACATAGTTGATCGATTCAAGTCTTTTAAAATACAAATTACTTCCCTTCCAATAGTTAAAGGTGTGAAATACTCAAAGTCTCAAAGTCCCAGTACACAAGAAGAAACGACTGAAATGATGAATTATCCTTATAAAAATGTTTTGGGATGTCTCTCGTTTCTTTGCAATCGTACTCGTCCAGATATAGCTTATGCTGTTAATATATTTTCTCAGTTCCAAAGCAATCCTGGTAAGTTTCACTGGGAAGGATTATTTAAACTTTTAGGGTACATTTCCAATACCAGACAGTAAACTTAAACTGATATGCAAGGAACTGAAGCTAAATATATATCCAGATTCGGATTTTGCTTCAAGCAGGGATGATATGGTGTCTATTGGTGGACAAATAGCTTTATTGGGAAAATCACCTGTATCTTGGCGTACATTTAAAGAAAGGGGAGTGAGTGTGTCTACTATGGAGGCTGAATTTATCTCCATGACTGAATCAGCAAAAGAATTAGTTTGGTTTAAAAACATTTTGGATGAATGCATTCAGTTTAAAATTGCAAGTAACTATGTTTCGAAAAGCCAATATTGTTTGCTGATAACATGGCTGCTATATGTTTTACAAAATCACCCATTGAAAACTCAAGGACAAAACATATAGATGTGAAACTATTTTTCATTCGTGATATTGAACAGGGAAATTTTTGATTTAAAATATGTTCCAAGTAAAGATAATCTGGCTGATCCCATGACAAAACCGCTGACTAAGCATAACCTGATAAGATTTTGTGGAACAATTTTCTTATGAAATTTGTTTTTGTGTGTGTTTATTTAAATTAAGAGTTTTGTTTTTTCATTTGTCTCTTTTGGAAACATAATGAAAATAATGTGTTGTACAGTCATATTATGATGGAGTATTAGGTAAATGTAAAACTGTATAGTAGTAGAATGTTGTATGATTGACCAGGGCCCTGGGTAAATGTATTGAGTGTATGATCATACATATGTCTTTGTATTGTTTTGTAACATGTTGGACTTTCTTGCTATGGTAAAATTTTGAATAATGGGATAAGATGTTCCCAAAGGAAAATATTTCTTAAAAATTTCTGAATTCAATGAAGTTGTGATATTTATTTATTATTCTTGTTTTGAATTTTGTAAAGATACTGGCATTCGGTTTTTATTTCAGGTCGGAGATGATGATGTGGGGGGGGCGGGGATTTGTTGGAAAATATAGCTTATTTTAAACCTTTTACTGCATCATCTCTCCTCCTTGAAATGTTTATTTAGTTTAGTTCTTATTTTAATGTAATATAGTAGTTACTTCTACTTCTTTTTCTTGCTGCCACTGTTTGCATTGAGAACGGACTGTTTCAACCTAATTAAGATGCAAAAACGAAAGTGATGTTACGTCATCTGAAAAGCCGATTCATGCCGATAGCTGATTGGTTGCCGTGAGATGACGTCATTCCTACTTCTGCTATAAGTATCTCGCGTCGCTCTGGCTCAACCCCTTCTAGTTCCTGCTTTCCTGGCACTTGAGTGAGCGGTTTCCAGCCCCTTCAGAACGATGCATGCAGTCCGGTGAATAAAGTGCCTTGGTTCCGGTTTGCGGGATGGCTGTTCCTGAATAAAGTTCCTTGGTGCCTGTCCGCGGGATGATTGTTCCGGAAAAAGTTCCTTGGTTCATATCCATAAGATGGTTGTTCCAGAATAAAGTTCCTTGGTTCCAGAGATTTTCTACCATGAATGAAGTGACTGCCTTGGGCGGCATCCATGCTTCTTCATATGAAGATGGCATTTAAAATACGTGAGCGGCGATTCCTTGTGCAAACGGAGTTAGGCCGATTTTAAGTGCTTTCAAGAACTTCATTTAAATTTTCAGGTGTTTTTCTCTGACCATTGATCATGGGACGTTTTGAATGTGTAGCCAACTTCATTTTGAGGCCGCTTAATTAATGTTTAGGACATTTTTGTTTGTATTGAATGCCAATGTTTTGGAGACCAGGTAAAAATATTATTGAATGAATGATGGTTATATTATATTTTTCCTAAGACTCTGATATTGTTGAAATTTATTTTGTGTTTTTATTCTTTATTATATTGTTAATAAATAAGTTCAAAACCTTTTATTGTCTTCAATGTCTGCACAACATGATATCTCAGGGAGCTTTTATTGCTACTACTGCTAAATGTTTAATTTTTTTTAACTTTAAACTTTGCTTGAGCATCATAATCCATGAATTAATTTACTTGCGCCAAAAAATATTTTCTTTTCCTTTAGAGTTTAATCACTTGCGCTAAGACTAAACTTCACGGTTGCGGTGCCGTACGCTACAACATAACAAGGGGTAAAGTGTCTCATTTACGACGCTCCGCATCTGCGAGTGCAATCCGGAACTGTAACTCGAGAAAAAACAATTTTGTTGTTAGGCGACGTGTGCACCACGTTATTTTCATTTTTGCAAGAAATGCTTATCGACGTGGCGTTCATGTCGCTCGCGGTTCGAGACAAAAGCATCTCGACGTGCGTGGCACGTCTTTTTAGCGCAAGTGGTTAAAGAAATTTTAAACGATATTCATTTTATGAACTCTTGATAACGTGACCTTCGAACATCGACACCAGTTTCTAGCTTTGGCGACAGATATATCCCGCATGCACAGCTGTTTCCCTCTATGATGGAACAGAGCCACGTCTGTTGCAGAGAGGTTTTCCTTCTTTACAATACATATTCTTTGATTCTAACCTCCATGGTACCGATACTAGGATTAAACCCATTTTGTTTTATACGAGAACAGGTACTTTCTTTAGTTCATGCACTGCACATGCGATTCTCGAGAATACTGGAAACCAAAAGTTGCGGGAAACTTGCTTTGCCTTTCTAAAAGACAATCAAATTGGAGCTGTGAAAATTGGCTCTATGCCAACTGTCCGAATGACACTCACGTGATACACAATTCGCCAAAAAAGTTATCTCTTCCGACGTCGGCGCAAAAATTGCTTTTTTTGGCGGGATCGTTGTATGAACTTCCCCGACTTTTCCAGATTTTGACAAAAATACTTAGATTCCCTGACTTTTCCCTGAATTTTTTGGTCAATTTTCTAATTCCCTGACTTTTTCCGGTTCTCCCGGTTTTTCAGGTAGCGTGGCAACCCTCTGATGATCTGTTACCCAGAATCGCCGAAGTCCCTACGAGTCCAGATTTTGGACTTTGTACTGTAGTTTGAAACCAGAGGCTCATTGCATGGACATCTTCCTTAGAAAGTTCCTCAACTAAGGCAACTCTACCCATAGGCAGAATTCTCGAGTGCTTTGCCATAATCAAATCAAACAACAAAGAATATTCATCCAAAATCTTAATTTTGAACTCAAAATAGCACTGCCAAAAAAGGGACAGAAATGAGAGATGAGCAAAATTAAGGGATCTGCAAATTTTAGCCAAAAATCAAGAACTTTTGAGAATCACACACACCTTGAAATTCTAAATAAAAAAAGAAAGAACAATAAGAAAGCATTTCCCCTTGTCCATTACTGAAACCTTTAATTTTTTAAACAGTACAGTCTTTTTGAGCTACCCAACAACAGCAATATTTAAACAAAGTATATGAGCTAAATTTGTATAATTACTTACTTTGTGCTACATTTATACAGCCTTCAGTCATAAGGATGACACACCACTAATGAAGAAACTATTATGACAAGAAGAATTAATTACGAAGGGAAAAAAACAGAAATTTTCAATACATACTGTCCTTTCTACATGCAAGAATTTTTCACGCATCATTTCCCTTGCTTCTTCAACTTCAGTATCGCTATCATCATCTTCAGATTCTTCACATAAATTCTCGTCTAAAGTACCTAAATTAAAATAAGTATGCTTAAAACATTCCTTGAATCAAAGCATTTAAAGATAATTTGATAGCTAAATTTAAGCTATTAGCTATTTACAGAAGCAGTAAGTGACATGCAGAAAGCCATGCAGACATGCACGTATATGATACTAATTCAGAAGTCAAACAACAAAAATCAGCGTTATATTTTCAAAATTTTCACAGGACTAGTGAAACATAATGCTGACTTTGAAAGTATAATGCTGATTTTTGCTGTTTGACTTCTGAATTAGTATTTGTTCGGCGTGTCATTGTGTCTTAATATATATGATAATTTTATTTTCTTTGTGAGAAAACAAGAAAAATAAGAATTGTTCCTTCTTTGAATTATCACCACTTTCATTTCATACATGTCAACATAAAACACAATCAAATTATTTTAGAAACCTTAATGTTCTTCCGTATCATTCTGCAAGTTATTTAGCAGTTCCTTTTATATAACTATTAAATACATTATATAATACGGTGGAAGCTTTCACTGCAGCCTTGTGGCAGATCTTCCCAATATCAAACTGCAAGACATAAGTGTGTAATAACTTCTTGCTTTCAAAAATTAAGGGGTTACATGGGTTTCATCCGAGTAAAAACGGTGTATTTTCAAGATTTTTGTTTCATATAATAAATGAAATATTTAATTCAATTTTTTTATTATCTTAAAGGTACATATTTAATAAGAAATTTCTGAAAAAAATATTAAAAATTCCGCCATTGTGACGTCATTTCCAGCGAGCCCTTGGAAAAAAGGTGCATTCGCGTTGACAGCAGAACTCCTAGCAGGATCATCTGAAGTGGGGGGAAAAAAAAATTCTGTTTTGGTTAAGGCTTCAAACTAGTAATTGGACGAAGGAAAAAAAATGAAAATTAAATGTTTGACAGCGGTTTTTACATAAAATGCAAAATTCGATAAAAATTTCGTGGCATTTTTGGGGGGTGGGAAAAGAACTTCCTCCAAGTCCTTGTAAATTGTATCTCGAAGACCTGTTTAAAATTTCATCGAGATCGGTGGAGTAGTCTTCGAGAAATCTTGACAACCGACTTTAAAAACATAGTTTTGAGAAAAACGCATTTAAAGTTTTGAGTGACCATAAAACAGGAAAAAAAAATTTTTTTTTTTACTTACATTGAATCGTCGATTCCTGGGCCATAAAGTAATGAACCTGCTGCAGCTGCAATGTCCTCGGCTTCCTTTTGTTCCTGTCTATGACGAATCCTGGCTTCACGAGTCTCGTTTGCAGATTTTTTCTCGGCGGCGCAGATACGGTTTTCGTCAGCGTTTCGGGCATATTCGTGGGAATTTGGGCCAAGTTTTAAATCCATACAGTGCATAATTAATAATAATGATGATGTTCCTTCATTAAAAATGCAAGCAGCAGTCAATGCAGCAATATCAACGATCTTGGAACCAGCTGGAAGTATTTTTGGAGTAATTTTCCAGATCAACTGGTTGTAACTTTCGTTGCTATTTTGTGTAAAACCACCAACACATCGCTCCAAAAGCTCATCCTTACTCAGATCTTCGTAAGTAGGTTTCACTGCAGTCAAAACATCATCTGGTAATGGAGTATAATCGTGTTTGAATGATGAAAGAGTGTTTGTTGCTGATGCTCATTGCCAGGCACACCAGGAGTCTGAACCTTTCGGACAATTTTCGTGCTGAGGTTTTTTATCTGTCAAGCTGATAAAACGTAGCCCAAATAGCATCTTTCATTTTTTCTTCTGAGTCAGTTTCTTCTGACTACTAAACCATAATAAATAGTTTAGCAATCAATTTACTCGTCAGTTTACCTTTGCCAGAAAGAGTTTTTTTACTAATTTTTTCCTCAACTGTTTTCTTCACTAAGTCCTGTAAACGAGTGCCCATCCTCTGCTGTATATGTCCAACACATTCTTTCTTCATGATAACAAAATCTTCACCGTAAGGTGAGGCTTTGAGAATACCAGAGTATGTTTTGGAATCCCCATCTCCTATATAGTTAACATGCCTCAGGCCATGTTTAACAATAGAACGTTGAAACATTTCAATAACAGAAGATGGTTCCATGTTCCCAGATGCTCCAGTGTGATTCGCGTTACATTCATTTGATTTAATGTGTTGTTCTTTCCACTCTTCATACTCTGCAGTATCTAATTTTTTTCCCCACGACTCACATAATTTACAGTAAGAACTTTTAATAATTACATCCAAGATTTTTCTCGAATAAAATCCAATTAATGAACTCACACCATATAGTGATGCGAAGAAACGCTTCTTCCACGTTCCATCACCAGAAACACATCTGTCGTATCTTCACCGTCAATTTCATCACTTGTTAATTGTTCTCCTTCTTTTGCAGCAGTGGAGAGTAGTGTCTCAGTAATTATCTTGATGCAGTTCTGTATTTTATCTATATAAAAATCATATGTTGATTGATTCAAAAAGGAGCAGCTTAAATCCATCAAACCACAAAATTTCTTGCATCCGGCAAGCTCTAAACCCAATAACCTCATGACAAAAATAAACCGCCTATTTAGTTCATACATTCTGCCAATTTTTTTACAAGATAAAATATATTTCGGCTCACATCGTTCACATGCTACCTCAATTTTAAATCCCTGACCGAATTGCGAGCATTGTTTAAAGTTTACTTTTCCATTACACAATTTTTCTTCACCTTCACTTTCAATGACGTTTGAACAATGCACAAAACACGACAACAATGAAAAAACAAGATAAAAATCGATGATGGAATATTGGAGTGTGGCTTCCTCTAGCACGTGCTCTTTATTTTCACCTTTCAATTTTTTTGCTGATATACTCGTGAAAGAATCATCATGCTACTCGGGATTTTTAGAATTGAACGACTGTCTCCGTTTCTTGGGTCCATCTTTTCTACGAGCACTATCCACTAATTGAGATTTTGAAACTTTGGGCATTTTTAAATATAATTTACTTTGGACATTTATAACCTCAAAATAAACCTCGTCGTTCAACATGCGATCACCAAATGAAGTATTTCAACTAGTTGCCTTTAGAAAAAGAGAAAAGTAGCCATAAAGGACAAATGAACAATACGCGAGCAGCTGCTCTTTTATACCTGCAGCAAGCAGAGCCCAGGTAGCCTTGAGTGCACTACTTCAAAAGGCTGTATCTCCGAAACTATTACTCGGATCAACTTGAAATTTTCGGACAACATTCGAGAGATGTTGCAGATTTTAAAAAGAAAAGGGGGGGGGAAGATTTTTTGAACCTTTGAAACCCACGTAACCCCTTAAGGGGGCAAAGCTTTTGACAAATTTTTGCCGTTTTCAACATCATATACCGTATTTACCGGTGTATAATATACACTTTTTACTTCCTTGTGTGAAGTAAAAAGGAAGTATTGTAATCGCGAAAAGTTTAAAGCAGCATATTTCAAAGAAAATATCCATCTTGACCACTTTCGAATGCAATTTAACGATGTTTTTGCGTGATATCTGTACGTAAGGACAGAGTAAAAGACTCTTTTCCTCCAAAAAAAATGATAAAACTGCTTTAAAATTAATTCTGAAGAGAATTTTTCGTGGCGTCTGTACGAATGTATGTACGTACGTATCTCACATAACTCAAAAACAAGTAGCCTCAGAACGTTGAAATTTTATATATAGGACCATTATAACATGTAGATGTGCACCTCGTATTTTGGTTGCAATCAGCCGTGCCAAACGTATACAGTCAAAAGTCGTTAATTCAGACTCGTCGGGACTTCGGCGATTCCGGATTATAGATCATCAGTTTAAATCTCGTAAGATGGCATGCGCAAATTCTAAAATTAAAAATATGAAACCGTAATTTATGAAATAAAGAACAATTATGATCTAAAGGGTATAAAAATTTACAAAAAAAGAAGCTTAATATTTATTTGTTTACTTTATTAAACATTTCTTTCAATGTAAGTTGTTTCGTTTTATGTGATAATACTTTCTCTTTAATTCTATAAACAGACATGATTTCTTGTTCAGTTACAAGTCCCGTAATCGTTGTGCCGAGAATACTGACTAACTTGTCAATTGAAATTTTTTCGTTTTCACTAACCTCTCTGTCATCTTCTTCATGTCTTAATCCATTTTTTGCAGCAATTCCACTTTTTGTTTGATGGACATTGAGACATACTTTTGTTTTGTAGATCCTCTGGGAGCTCCAGAATCGGGAATTGACATAATCGAAAGTTCAAATTTACTTTTATAAAATTGCTCTTACAGTCTACAAAAAATAATAAGCCGCATCCAATTCGAAGATTAAGGAACAACACAATCATCAACATTAACTGAAATAGATAATTATATAATTTTAGTTTGCACCGTCCGCTATATATAAAACGCGCAAGCGAAAACGTATTCTGCACTTGCGCACACGCATATGCACGTGCGCGTAAATGCCTATGCGCATGGTGTCAACGCGGCGCATGCGCAGAAAGTTGTTAGCTTTGAGGTCCGGATTATAGATCATTCCGGATTATGGGTGTCCGAATTAACGACTTTTGACCGTATTAATATATTTATATATATGTCCACTCTGTTACCCGGTTCAGTGATCTCAGTTTTTTTTACTCTTATATGTTTGCAAATTGTACATTTTTTGCTTTAAAAATGATTGAATTATGTTATTCTGATCTTCCGGTTAAGGTTTTTATGCCTTTAGTAAATCTGTATGCAATATTTTTAGAATTATCAACAATTTTAAAATTCTTTAAGTGCCGCTAAGCCTAATAATTTTTTGATGGCAGCCATTGCTTGTTTACATTTGAAACAGCAGAGTAGTGGATTTGTTGCCAATCTGGAGAAACGTAGCATCGCAAAAACAAAGATAACGCCTTAATTTATTATTGCGAATTAAATCCCGCTCAATCCTTTCTGGAATTTTTTTGAGGAAATACGTGTTTAGGATTTACTTCGTAATTTCTAATACAGATATTTTGAGTTTTTATGTATTTTTGCCTTGTCGCGAAGTGA